CATGCGTTCTCCATTTGACCCTTCTTCGCGTACCGAAGGTACCGCCGGGGAAGCACACGATTGATATGCCAGGGAAGGCATTTGGTGAAGCTCTTCACATCTAAATCACCCTGCGAAGATTGGGTTCGAGAATTTACGTTGATATATGTTCATTTCGATCCCTTCTCATGGCAGAAAAGAATTGTAGAGAACAGATGGAGTTCACCGGGTGAGGTTTTACCTCTCTGGGGGGCCAAAACAACAGCGACCTTTTTAAGAGCTCGGAAACAAAGGAAACAGTAGCCATGAGAACAGCGACAGCTCACCGGTGAGTGTCCCTATGAGAAGTAGTTCTCCCACTTCACCTAGATTTCTGCGTCTTCATCGAGGGTAAAGGAATGACATGACCGAAGCCAAAAAGATGCTCTGGCTTCTTCAGCAGGACACCTAAAAGGAAGTATAAATGCTGCTATTGTTTCCGACTCCATGATATCTTCTCCTTGGCGTACATGTCCTCGCCCGAGTCGACGAAGAAGGCCTACCATGAATGGGACTCGGAATCATTTTTCAAATATTTTGTTTGGATTTCTTGTCGAGATCAGAATCTTTCGGTATTTTCTCCGTTGGCTACGAGATCGGCTAGAGTTGAATGAGCCATGTGCTCATTTTATGAGACTTCGTTTGCGCAATTGTTTGACTTTGATTCAAGACTTCATCTAATGATGATGAGAACATAAGAATCCACAGAGATAAAGCAGAAAAACAATAGGGCAAACATACAGATGTGATCATCCATTGCATTGGATGATCGAGTCGCGTCTTCTGTAACATTGGGTACGACAACATAAAATACATATACAGTAAATGTTGATCAGGTAATCGCAGCATGATCTCCATCACACAGACTAATATAATGGTCTCCTATATGCCTCTCTGGTCAATGATTTCGACATTTCAACTTCCGTGCAATCATATTAAAAGAGAAAAAGAAGACGGCCACATCCGAAAGACAGAAACTGCATATTCGAAGAAGATATTTTCTAGTCCCTCGAAATGAAAGAGGTTAGATAATTGATTGATGGATGGATGTCGAGGGTAGAAATCTCCTATCCTGTGAAGCTCATTTGCAGTAGAGAGGGTGAACGCCGACATCTGTGGCTCTCCAGAACTCAGCGGTCAAGCTCAAGCACCTGAGGGTGACGGCACAAAGCAAACCTTCAGATGTGTGTGGAAACATATATATATGCATGTATGGATTCTTTCATCCATGCAAAACAAACACAAATGTCCAAGACGTGTGGAGTAGTAACTTGTGCCTCATGCCCAATGTCACCATCCTTCTCATTGCTGTTCAAAGAACCACACCCTCTAATCCTCCCTTCCTTCTTCGATAAACCAACACGAAACGTGAATGGCCCATCGAAACAATAATCTTCTTCACCTGTGGAATACCTAATGCCTCGTCGACTTTCTAGAATTACAAAGACTGTTTAGTAAGAAAAAATAGCATTCAGTAGAATCAAAATTGTGAAGCTTCTTCCACAACCAAGAGGAATGGGAAGTGGCGATGCAACACCTTCTTCAATTTTTTAGCTAGTGGCAGTTTAGTGCTTCATTTCGGTGGTTGGAAAGCGACGAAGTCGATTCTCATTAAAGAAGTTGCATCTTCTTTCGGCCTCAACATGCAGAAAAGAACAAAGAGAATTAGAGAGAGGAAATGAAATTAACTGTGTATAAATAGTGAGCCGTGCAATGATTTGAGATTCGGTAATAATATCTTCTCGTACTAAATTGAACAAAACAAAGAATATATTCGGCCCCGGTGACGAATTATAATCTTGAAGCAACAAATACAAGAGATTTGACGGAAATTTATCTTGGATAGTGTTTTGGGACCGATCAACCTATTAATTACACGTCCACATTTATTGTTTTCATCGCTGTTACTATTCCGAATGTTAGGAGGTCACATCGATTTGGTATTTCTCGTACGATTGATTCTATGTGGATAAACCTTGATCTCTTCCGAAGTCGCTGTGGCTCCCTCTAAGGAGATGATATTTCTGACAACTATCGTCCGAGCTACACTGAAAGATATCACACGTACTATTCGATTAGTTCCAAAATATGGGCCAATGGTGGCAGTGAAGCAACAACAAACATATTACAACTTGTCGTCTGATCTTTTGCTTCGAGCACTGTTGTGCTCTGCGATAGCTAATATATGGAAGATCGATGACAAAGAACAATGAAATGCGATTCCCGCATGATGAAGGTGAGGATCTCGGCATATGGAATTATTCTTTTCTTATAGAGAAGTCTCGATCCGAGGCATATGCTCGTGTAAAGTAAGAAAGTGTTTTCTGCTCATTATTAAGAAGATCTGTCCATGCAACTCATTGTTGTTCTCGTATTCCCTATATAATATCACGAGCAAGTATGGCATTTAATTTTGCTTCATGACGAGCGGAATGATAGACACTGTGTTCGGCCAACATCGCATGATCTCCCATTCGCAGCGAATCCTTAAAGCCGCCCATCCCATCGACCACCGTGACAAGGAGGATTGATTAATTTCTCGGTGGTGGTCTTATTACTCCGCTAGATTAAAGACATGTCGCGTCGGAGTCGATGTCCGACGACGGAAAAGCTAGCGACGTCGAGTGTAGATTCGAAAGCGACTGTCGGCAGCTTGAAGGAGCTACACGCGTCCGGGCCCGCAGGTCAAAGCGAGGCCCTCGACGCCCTTCCAAGATCTGCGACTGCGGAAAGATCATGTCGGATCGATGCACGGAAAAGAGACGGCCGACACCTACCTCTTCCTCCTTTCTTCGTGGAAATGAGGCAGCGCACACACGAACTCACCTCTGAGGAGGCAGCATTCCTCGAAGGAAGGAGACAATCCGTTGATTCACGCGACAATTAGTTCTGCAACCACGTCAACGTAGATATATATCGTGGACGATAGGATCACCTCTATGGATTCGGCAGCCATTCGGATCCCTGGATAACGCGAATGACAGGATCAACTGGATGATTTCTCCCCAGATATGAAGCACTTCAACTGATCTCGATCCGTAAGCACACCTATTCCACCCGTCGCCGTTGCCGTATATGTCCGGAGCTTGCGAAGATTGATACAGATATTTCGGTGTTTGATTACAATATACGATCATCATCATCATCATTTTCCATAATCGGGCTCTCATCATCTTCTGCAACTTTCTTTGCCAAGAGTCATAAGAAGGATCCAAGAGAGCTGATGCAATCCTTTCTCATACCTAATGCCGCTAATCTTTATGTTAATCGAAGTTGATTCCTGCAGATCTTTATAAGCTATAGCTCTTGTCGGCACACCTATGTCGGATCATGCGTAACATGAAAACAGCAAATTATGTTGCAGATTTGCGCCCAATCTGAGATCCACACCTGATCTTTCATCTTGGTAAGATGTCCAAGACGGGAGAACAAGAATCCGACAAGTAGAACACACCATAGAACGAGTTACCTGATAGCTAAGAAATTGTAGAATTCTACGGCTAGCTGTCTTTGTTGCGTTGATTACTACATCTTCCTTTCTAACTCTCTGATGGTGACTTGCTTGATGCAGAGAGATTGGACTCTCGATCGATGTAGTCTTGTGCTCAAGAAAGACTCGAAATCATCGTCTCATGATGTTGGCACTACGTACTGAAAGATGCGGTTTGCACTTCGTCAAGAGACAAAACCCATCAAATAATCTTATTGTCGAGAATCACAATCACAACACGTACATGTATGCTGCATCATTAGATTAAACATAGAAATCTTAAGAAGCCTTTGCTGCAGAACCAAGAATCAAGTCTATATTTGTCCCATCATCAGAAGAAAACAATTAGACCACAAGGACGCGTGACCTAAGGTGAAGAAGATGAAACCGATAGGAGTGGGTGGTCGTCCAAGCAAAGCAAAGGAAGAAACAAGAGAGAAAAGAAAGCCGACAAGGCTGATAAAAGAGAGCTATATAACTAGCAATCTAAAAATAAACAAAACAAATGCACGATTCTTTCAGCATCAACATAAGAGGAGAGCTAGTGACACCTTCCAAACTTCACAGATTGTGTCAACCGATCCGCTTTCCTCACTGCCCTAACTCTTTACCAACTAGACAAGATTCTATAAATTTAATCTACAATTAATCAAAATTTACTCGGTAGGTGAGGCTCGATTTTATAAATTTGGTAGGTCACAAATTGGGAGAATTATATAAATTACTGGATATCCTCGATATAGGTCACAAATTCGGTAATCCGACTTTGACTTTTGCGAGACATGCAAGAAACGATAATAAATCCCATCGTAAAGTTAATTTAAAATTTATTTTAATATTAAAGAAAACAAATATCTTTTATATATCCGTCTAGTGTATCAATTTTTCTGGAAATAATAGAACACAAAATGTTTTTTGAAATATAATGCAATAGAAACAAAGACTGAACGGATTACCTACTCCTGACGGTCAAAGCGAGCCCTTTGCGTATCATTGAAATAGTTAATATAACTTAGCTGGGTCTTCACAAACCCAGAGATCTGAGCGTTCGTGTGCACATACATATGCATAGTCCTCCAGAACAGAGTCCGTGGAAGGTGCTGAAGTCTTATCTTCCACCAAGAAGGGAGGAGGGAAGAAACAAGCAGCTCAGATATCAGTCTTCTTTTCCTAAGACAATGTTGCGGAGCCACATCTTACACTGGCAAAGCATTCCCATCTGAAATGATCAAAGCTCTGTGAGTAACAGACTACACTATTCATATCAAGTCAAATCCTACAATAAGACGAAGAAATCATTCATACCGACATCTTCCCCTCCGAGGATGTTGTATGCAGACAAATTCATGCACTTTGCCCAGAGACTATGAAAACTCTCCTATACAGCGAGCACAAAGTTGATGTGCAGCAACACTTGCATTCACATAATAATCTTGTTAAGGAATTGTGCAAGCTAAGCTCCAAAGAGGCGCACAGAAGAAAATGAGACTGGAGAAGAAAAGAAATATCAAAATAGGAAGAGTTTCAAGTCCCGTAACCTCAGGATTCTCTAATTTTGTAACTTCTATCGGTAAAATTTGAAGCTCTCAGACGTCTCTTACACCACAACCACGTCTTCCCAAAGCCATGTAAAATTTACAATCTCCATGATCGATACATGTGCACTAAGACACGGAGCAACATTAAAAAGATACCAACAATCTCCATGCTGTAAAATTTGCCAATCAATTCAACATCAGAGACCAATTTCCTGCGTGCTCCCCAGATGTGTGACGATCTACCTGTGCAAAAGAGCATAACAACTCCTGAATATTGCGATAATTACAGTGGCTCTGCAGCCAATTATACAGCCATAAATGAACATAGTTTTGGGTGTATAAAGTGTGGTATCAAAATGATCGAGTGATTTCTTTGACTTTATTATTTCTATTGCTTATCATTGTTATTGCCATCAGCCTCAAGCTACACATGATCAATAGGCTCCTTGTTATTGTATGCAAAGATAAAACCTCAACTATGTGTTCACAAAAGTAATATTTGATAAAATGTCAACAACAAAGTTCTTACTCCTTCAATGTTGAGTTGATGTTCATTATCAAAACCATTTATAAGGGTTCAATAAGTTAAACAGGCAAGACAAACTTCACTCACCATAAAAAATAAAAAAAGAACCCCTCAGACCAGTTCCATTTTCCCATGGAATAGGACAGCCTAGAGAAGCTCCGAGTTACACTTGGATTGACCATCTCATTTGAGCGATGATCAATCCTATAACAGCATAGCTAGTTGCTTCATGCTGTAACACATTGCAAGCTTAATATTTATATTAAGTAAATGAATAGCACATTTATCATTGCGTAATGAAACAAAGACCATCCAGCTTAGAGGTTCAAATTGATGAATTATATAAGTTACCGGATATCCTCGATGTAGTTTGCATAGCTGGTTGTTCTTTGTTTTATTAGCCTGTAATTCTAGATAAGACTCCTGCTCCAATTCAGACTATAAGAATAGAAACAAAATAGTTACAGTAACATTACTTCTTTACCAAATTTTTTTTAATTAAACAAAAAGAATCACTTCGCTCAAGAGGATAAGGACGATATAATTCTGTCAAAAGCCTGAACATTGTTAGGACTCTAAACAAGGTTAAGGCTAGTAGTTCTTGTGAGATTAGCAAACTTGTGAGCTTGTTGCTAGCTTCCCTATCTATGTGCATCCTGTGTTACAATCTTTATAATGATTCTGAAGGAACCAGGGAGACTTCAATTCACATCCTGTGTTACCATGCACCGAATCTGAGTTAACCCATACAGACACCAACAAGAAAGGCCACATCATTACCTATTAACAATCTGCGCCATAATTTGTTTCACTATTCTTCAGCAACAGCTTCCAATTTTAGCTTCACAGAACAACACCAACAAAGATTCATGTCCCATCCAAATTATTGAAGTTATCATGCATGCTTTGTGATCTGATTCATCACAAACATATTAGGATTTACAACTAATGCAGCTGCCCCCAATAAGGAAAGACCAAAGATAGAGAGCCATTCAGCTGGTTAGGTGAACAAGTACCAAACAATTCAAAGTTTGAAAAGATAGAGGTTTTGCGCCGAGCTCAAAAGAAAACAGTCACTTGGCACCAAAAGCGTTCAGGTGATTGAATTAATTATGTACTTACGTAGACAGGATAAAACCAAGCATAACCATCATTAATTGCGAAAACATGAGGCATCATACCTTGAGGTTCCAAATCTGAGTTCACCAACATTGTCCATTGCATCGACATCTCAAAGCCAATCTATCCTGCAGATATGAGACAGCTTCTCCTGTACCGAAGATGGCATCCAACCCCTCAATGATTTGTCCAACCCGACATACCTCAGAGATGGACTTGCCAGCATCATCCGCTCGACATCGTTGGCAGAGACACCATAACACGAAGCTAAGACAAGGATCTTTAGTGCCGGGTGGTTCGAGTAGGAAAGAATCCCCACACCAGTAACCAATTCACAACCCGTCACGTTGATCTCAACCATGTTCCTGCAGTTCCGAGCCAGCGCAATAAGTGTGGCATCGGACAAATTGATTAGCCACGAAAGATCAAGACTCTGAAGGCCAACGATAGACGCAATGGCGATGCCTCCCACATCCGTAATCATCGGCCCGCAGTCTGCAAGACTCAATTCTTCCAAGCACGGGATGTGCCGCAACAAGCAAACACCGAGGTCTGTAATCTGATCGCATTCAGAGACGTCCAACACTCTCAGGGATCTCGACAATGGCCCGTTGGCCAGACAAGCCAATCCGGAGTCGGTGACCAAGGGGCAGCCCCGGAGGCACAAGACCATCAGCGAGTTCAAGGCGCAGAACGCTCCGACCGCCCGGTCCGTGACCTTACTACACCAGGACAAATCAAGAGAAGATAAACCCTTGGCGTGCTTCGCCAATTCGATGGCACCCACGTCGCCGACTCCCTTCCTCCTCCTCAAAGAGATGTTTTTAAGTTTCCGGCAACAGATGGAGATGGCGCACAAGCCGGCGTCAGTGACGTCAGGCGGTTCGACGCCTTGGGGCTCTTCGTCGAGCTCGATCAGGCTGCGGTGGGCGTTGAGGTTCAGGGATTCAAGGTCAGGGCAGGATCGAGCGATGAGGTCGAGGTCGGCGTCGGAGATGGGCGTGGCGGCCTCGAGGGCGGTGAGATTGGGGAAGCGGGGAAGGAATCGAGGGAGGTAATGGGGGTCGAGGACGCGGAGGGCGGAGCGGGTGAGGGCCTCGACGCGGCGCCACCGCCGGCAGACGCGGGCGCAGGACTTGCGGTCGCGCCAACGGACGACGCTCGTCAGCACCAGCCCCAACTCGTCGTCGCCGAGTCTCTCCATCACCCACGACGATTGGTTAACACGAGTCACAAAGCTGAGCAGGTGACCATCAAACGGCGACTAAAATTAACACGTGTCAAGTTTATTGAACACAGGCCTGAAAAGATCAGCCCAATTATAGCCCAAATAATCGTCGCGATGTCATGGTTATGGAATGCGAGCCGAGTCATGATTCATCGTTGAACAACAGCCCGTGGGCTAACTAACGGTTGCACGACTGTTAGTGGTACCGTTGTGATGAAGCATGTAGTTAAATAATCTAATGGAAGATATCTATGTTATGTTGGTGGGTGGGTTATATATATATATATATATATATATATATATTATATAAAGCTCGAAACGAAAGAAATAAAGAGAGTAGTGGGGGGAGCAAAAGTGAAATGCCGGACCATTCGAACATGAAGTAAATAAAAGCAGGGGAGTGCAAGGTGGATAAGCTAAACTAGAACGCCAGTTGCTTCCTTTTCCTGATCGGTGCACCCTCCACCATCACCACCACCTCTGCCATGGCGCCACCTTGGTAGAATATGTAATCCGCTTTAAACGCCGAATCGGATAGAATATTTGGAGAAGCCGAATCCGGGGACTGAAGTGAGACCTGCACATGTACATTAGCATCCAAGTGGATGGAGGCGACGAGTGCAAGCTTTTCCTGCTTCCCTGCCCCCTTTCTGCTGCCGGAGTCCTGTAACGCTATCGATGTTGGTGACATCAACGAGGGAAAGAATTCTTTGTGGCGCTGCTGTTGCTGCTGCACTGGCGAATTCTCATTCGTCCCCTTCGTTCCCTCCTCCAGTCCTCCAAAGATTACCTTTTGGAATGCCCACGTTGATGCATGATCCTACCCTCTTCGTTATGCACCGGGTTTGGTGAAAAGAACTCTCTTGGTACCAACCAAGAGAGTTCAAGAGAAGGAACGCTCTCTCCCTCTCTCTGCTTGCACGCCATGGCGAAGCAGAGCAAAGGCCACGCCTATGGTCCACCTCCTCGCCGTACGAGGAAGTGGACCGCACGCGTGAAGTGGCGGGCACCATACCATAAACACCAGCGTGAAACCTCCTCTCTCTCTCTCTCGTTTGGGTCTCCCCTTTGTGTACTAACCAAGATCATGTTTCCTACTGATTCGCCATGAAGCAGAAGCACCCAGTTTGGAGTCTGCAGCTGATCTCTGCTCTTCCATTAGACTTGATAAGACTAAAAGCCAACTTGGGGGGGGGGGGTACCAAACAAGGCCGCATCAGAGACATACCCAAGGCATTAGGCATTATTCTGCTCAGGCCTTCTCGCCTGCCAATCTGAGTCCCACTGCTAAGGCTCCGATCACCATCACCCGGTCACATCAAGCCCCTGGTTTTTCTCCCTGGACACTTTACCATCTTTATCAGCTTGACAACAATCTTGATGATGTGCTTGGTCCATGTCTGATAATATCATAATGCGGTCATGTAAGTTCTCTACGAATGTTGGAGGCAGAACAGTGTCAGAGTCTTGTCAATCACACAACACAAAATGCAGAGTTCATAAAACATTTGTATTTCTGATCAGGAACTTGTCTTTCCGATCGAAAGATCACAATTTGATCTTATCAGCTGCAGACTCATACTAATCCAACATCCAACTGGAACTCATACTTGCTGCTGCTGCTGCTGCTGCTGCTACTGAACGGGAAGGAAGAAACGTTGCCATGACATCAAAGATGACAACATGCTGATCTCCATGAACTCAGTCATGGCTGAACTCTGCAAACACCTGCATCGCACTCATGGTCTCTACTACTTTATGGCGATCATACATGGTCCTACCTGAGCTATTTTATACATGTAGTAGTGAAGAGGAAGTAACCGAGGCGCATGCAAGAAACCCCTCATAATTCTGTCCTCTATGTGCCCACACATCCCTCCACGCCCACTGCTTCCTTGCTTGCTTGCTTTCTCTATATAAATATATAATCGCCAAAAACACATAATTTGGACTTCTCTCAGGTTTCATATCCAAATTGTTTGCCCACTTTAAGGCAATGGGTTAATAGCATAAAAATCCTTTTGTGTGCTAATATTTGGTTAAGATTAAGATCACACAGATCACAAGTGTACTAAAGTGTTCTTTAATCTTTATATATATACATATTGCTTTAAGAGCTGTTTCAGTTGTCCATTTTGCAGCTTAATTTTGAGAGAGATATATATGTTTTGTCCATATAAATATGTGATCATGAAAACAGAGTAGTTGGATTTTTACATCATTTTCTCTACAATATTCCTAGTGTTTGAGTCAATGGACCCATATATAATGTGGCGGCTGCTCTTACAAGTAGCAAGTCATCGTCCAATAGCTCATCTTTTCACTTGACATCCAATTATTGGAGATAATAATCCAAATTAAATTATTGACATGTCGTTTTTATTATATGCACTATGTGATGCCTTAATTTACATTTAATTAAAATATTAATCGAGTGATTACACTTAACTTTAAAGAAAATCTCATACGACCTGAGCTTAGCAAATATTGTAGCGTCGTGCATATTACTTATTATATTTCACGACATGCGAAAATTATAATTACTACTTATTTTAATTATTTTTTTATTTTATCATAATTATCACTTGTGAAATTACCAAAGGAAGAAAAATTATTCTATTTATAAATCGAGAATTTCCATGTATAAGAATAAATAAAATTATCCTAAAAAGATGTGATTTATCATAACAGTAAATTCTAAAACATTCCATATAAGAATCTATCATACAAAAAAAAAAAACATCCAAATATCACATCACTTATGATGATAGTTCGATATATTCCTTATGTTCGAGTAACGTCTGAATTTTTGTATACCATAATAATATTATATATTTAAATTATTTTGAAAAAATAAAAATATTTATGACGACATAAAAACTTCGACCTCCATTATTGGATCCAAGCTGAACCACCAAAGGGAGGCTAAGGCGATGTGGGGGGCAGTTCCTTAAATTTTGCGAACATGGCGAGGTTAGTTTCGTCAAAGCATTTTATCCCATATAAATAAGATCCTGCTCGCCTTCCCCTGCGGTCGCTCCTCCGAAGACCCGACGAGGGAAATAGAGACAGCGTTTAATCCACGCAAATTGAGCCCCTACTCCTCTTCTTTGGAGGAGGAAATTGGCTCTTGGAGACCCGCCGTGCTCGTATTTCGATCAAAGATCGCATTTTTTTTTTCCTTCTTCTCTTTCTTCTGTCGAATTCGAGCTTCCTTAGTTCGAAGCGGTTGTCGAATGAACTCCTGATTTCTCTCTGTCCCCCCCTATTCGAAATACCCTGATGGAATGTAGCTAAGCTCCGGAGCTGTCCGCCGATAACGCCGCAAGAAAGGATTGCTGCCTTGTCGTACGGCCGCGACGTTGGGTACTGTTGTGGCGGGTGGAGCCGTGGATCGAGGATTGCGGGTACGAATCGCTGCCACCGCCCGTCTTTTGCTTTTACTAGTATTTGCTTCGCTTTGTTGTTGACAAAGATTGGATTTCTCGGCGCCGATCCGTGGGAAGGCTGCGGATCTTGTGAGATAACTCGCCGCTGGCCTTTGATCGAGCTCCGGATGTCGAGAAGTCGCCCCTGCTCGCTTTCTTTTTCCGGAGATCCTTGAAAAGAGTCGAGGAGCGAGTCCGGCTCGACTCGGTGACTCGCTCGCGTCTCGCCAACCAACAGAGGCTTCAAATCTCGAGGAGGAAACCACCATCTTTTTCCTGTTTCTTTTTTTTTTTGTTCCTTTTGGTATAGCTTCGGAGAACGAGAGGTCAAAGCTGGGAATGTCTTCGGCCGCAAGGCTTAGAAAACTAAAAGCACAAAAAAGATAGAAGATTCTTCAATATAACAAGTGACAAAGAAAGAGGAAATCTTATTTAGAGCAAAAGAAAAGCTTCGAAGAATCTCCAAAAGGCATCTAACAAAGCTCTCAATTATTTGAGGTTGCGCGCTCGTATACTTGCTTGTTGCGCCTACCGCAGTACCTGTTCGACACTGGTCTTTGGAGTTGAGCTCTCTTTAGAGATCTCCAATCTCGAAAAGACCTCGTCTTTCTTGTGCTTGCTGTTGTCCGGATATATGAAGAAAGGAGCACCGGAATTTGGGAGCGCACAACGGGTTAGGCTTAAATTTCCGAGCTTTTTGTGATTGAAGTGGTGATTTTGTCGAGTGGTTGATGAAAGGTCGCTGATTTGTACCCACTCCTGATAATTTCCACAGAAAAGGTGCGCTCTGTGGTAGCTGGTGGAGAGCCTTTCTCTTTGACTGCCGGTGTTCGAGAGATGATACCTGTGACTTCTTGCAAGGAGGGGAAGATGGGGATCGATCAGGGGAAGTATGTCCGGTACACTCCGGAGCAGGTAGAGGCTCTCGAGAGACTATACCATGAATGTCCCAAGCCGAGTTCACTTCGGCGGCAGCAGCTCATTAGGGAGTGCCCCATCCTCTCCAACATTGAGCCGAAGCAGATTAAAGTTTGGTTTCAGAACAGGAGGTATAGATGTTTCGTAGCCAATCGATGCTTGTCGCACTTCTTGTCCGTTTGTTCACACTTTTCTTGCTTTGCCTTGTCGTTTAAGGTGCCGAGAGAAACAGCGAAAGGAATCTGCACAGCTTCAGACCGTCAACAGGAAGCTGACAGCAATGAATAAGCTTTTGATGGAAGAAAACGATCGGTTACAGAAGCAGGTCTCTCAGTTGGTATACGAGAATGGCTACTTCCGTCAACAGACGCAAAATGTAAGCTTCGGATTAAATTTCTTAAAGCAAAGGATTCCTCACGATGTTTTCGTCCTGCATATTCTACTAGTTTTAATTTGGTTCTTCCAATTTGACAGACTGCATTAGCGACAACAGATACAAGCTGTGAATCAGTGGTGACGAATGGTCAGCACCATTTGACACCTCAGCACCCGCCAAGGGATGCTAGCCCTGCTGGGTCTGTCAGAAATTGCTCTGATCTCCAGTGTACACTGTCTTCTTTAAAGACTTCTTCATGGTCGATGCCAACAGAGTTTGTTGT